GATCTTGGTTCATTGAAAAAAACAATGCTATAAACCGTATGTATGTTATAATTCTTGGAGAGTGGGATGTAGATTTTGTGGAGCTTCTGCATAGATTTGTTAAACTATTGGTCCCCAACCTTTCCAGCTTGGTGGCCCAGCCCGGTGCAGGTGTGTGTGAGTGGCAGGCACAGGTGCACACAGCGTGCAAGTGATGGGTGTGCATGTCTTCCACTTGCATAAATGGAGCTTTGTGCATCAGCGGAGAGTGCTTGTGAAGCTCTCCTTGTGCAAACTTTTGTGCTCATGCGCAAAGCTCCACTCCCACAAGGGGGGTTGCTTAAGCAGACAGTGCTTGTGCTCTGCTCAAAGCTCCACTCATATGAGCAGAGGGCGCTTGCAGGCGAAGCTCCATTTGCATGATTGGAGTTTCGTGAACACAAGCGCCCTCCGCTCTCACAAGTGGAGCTTCACGCATGTGCTTTTGCCCATCTCTCCAGCAGCCCGGTTTCAAATAGGCCACAGCCCAATAGTGGTCCACGGCCTGGGAGTTGGGCACTCCTGTGGACAACCTGCGTATTGATTTTTCCAAACAAAGTAGGGAATGGATTATTACAAAGTTCTGGCTTTGTGAAGCTTGATGGATTTCATATGCAAAGATACAGCACAGGTCAGAATTTACCTCCGTTCTACCAGAACTAGTTAAGGAATCATACAGATTCGTTTGTCACTTTAGGAGGTCAGAAATCTACAAAATGTGAAAAACCTAACTGCAAGCTAATAAGTGCTCCAATGGTGAATCCAAAAATATTATTCAATCAGAGCCCTTTTAGATATGGTTGCTGCTGGAGTAACAAAACCCCTATTGTCTCCACTCTACAGAGAAATAAGACAATTGCTAGAATTCCCCTTGATATTTTCAGTATATGCTCAACCAATTTTTCCAGGCTACTTGCAAAAGAATTGGTATAGGAGAAATTTGCCTAGGAAAGAAATATGCAACTTGGTTTCATTTGTTTATTCTGACAAACCACAGTCATCAAATTGTATGCACTTTTTGAAAGTGTTATTAGTATTAGATTTATGTAAGGGTATTTTGCTCTGTTAGAATGTAAATAAAACATTACCCAGTTCTTTGTAAGAAAAGTACTTGTCATGCCACAAAAACTGATCAGGAGGTCTCTATCCATTCAGAGCAAATTGGTAGAAACAGTAATCCAGAAAAATAACTAAACTTGCAGAGAAAGGAAGGTTTTTGAAATAAAGTCATTTGTTGGCAAAGTTTCTCATCAAAGACACTTATGGTCAGGGATTGTTAACACGTTAAAAATATAGACTTGATTTAAATGCTTCTCCTTATCTCAAAAACCTCACAACAGAGATCAGATTTTTTATTTTAATTGCAGTAATACTAACACAAACTCAAAAAAAGAAAAAAAAAGGCAAGGAAAGAAAAATTAAAGAAAAGAAAGAACGAGTAAATAAAAAGAAAATAAAGATATAAAGAAATGACTTCCAATCTTCATCACAAGCGCAAACTAATTTGGTAGTTCTTCACTCCTTATAATGTCACAAACCTATATCTCTGCTTCCTATATGCCATCCATGAGACATTTTTCAATCATGGTCTTTGCAAAAGATCTGCAAAAGGTTGCCAGTATTGATAAAAAAAGTCTTATTTTAAACTTGATCAAATAAACCAATTTATATTTCTTCCTTTTACTTCTGAAAATCTTAATATTTAATTTGTTCAAATATTGTCATAGGATTCTTTTCAATTCTTGTTTGTCCCATCACAAAGGCTTATTTGAGACTTTAACAAGCCTTTTTTGTAAATTCAATAAAAAGACATTATCCATTCCCTGGGTTTATCCATTACCTTTCATCTTTAAAACTTTAACCAGCTTCTTTTATATATTCAGCGGAGTCCTTATCTGGGTTATTCTCTTGGCCTATCACTTGTATTTCCACTTTAAATGCCTTTTCTGTCTTGTAATCCATACTTTTTTATTCAGTATTTTTGGTTCTACTATTTCTGCATCAAGCAAGATTTGATACACATTTATCATTCCTTTATTAATCTCCTTTAGACATAGTCTATCCTTAGAAGCAGATTTTATTGCTAATATTGTGACTACTAATTTCTGCCCCCCCCCCCCCTTTTTAAAGGTCTTCTTTAATATTTTAAACGTTATAATGTTTTGGATAATTTTGTAAATCCCAATCCTAATCAAAACCAAAAGTTCCTTAGTGACTTCCAATGGCGGCATTGTGAGTTATACATGTCTTCAGGAGAGTGGAAGCAACTACCCCATCAGAAACCAAAGAACCACTGAATAGAGGGGTTCTTTGAAATCTCACACGGATAGATAGATTCTTAAAGAACCATCTCATCCTGCCACCCTTTTTTTTTAAACGATTGCCATCTGGCAAACTGTACAGGATAATAAAAAGAAGGACAAATAAGTTGAGAAACAGCTTCTACCAGAAGGCAGTAACAATATTCTACTGTATAGTGCAATATTAATGCAATATCCGTGTCAGCTTTGGAAGCCATATTAGGCAAAAAGCTGACAATTGGGTTTTCAATTCAATTGCACAGAATTTGAAGGATGGGTGTTTGTGTTTTATTTTTATAATTATAATGTACACTGAAGATTGCATTTAATTTCGTTGTACGAAGTGCAATGACTATAAAGTAAACTCAACTAGAATTGGAGATTGCCCACACGTGCTCCGGATGCCTGCCTCTTCTCAGGAGCAGGTTTGAGAACTAGGAAATGGAAGGATCAACGTCAAACTCACTACCATGGCAGAGCCATTTAAAGGAATGGAAGCTCCTGTTGTCTCTAGCCACCTCAGATACTCTGGTTGTTTATCTCACCAACACTGAGATCTTTTCCTTTTCATTTTATACCGTCTAATTTTGAAGACATATTTCAGCTTGATGACAAAGAAATCACTCTGGCTTTGTAATTAGTTCTATCTGAAAGCGCACGTGTTGTTTGGCGTATTTTTAGGAACGTGATTTTTCTGTAGACAAAATGTTTGTTTTGAGAAGACTGGCTCTTATATATGGGAAACCTGGATTGTGTGTTTGTTATGAGAATCTTTCCCTCTTCCCCTTACAATGCATCCTTGCCATTCCAGGAACACCCATTTTTCTAGTTGGGAGAAAATTGGTTGCAATTCCATTCAGTTTTATTCCTATCAGGGATTTATTAGTAGCTAGATATTCCCAGGGTAAGAATATAAAAAATGTAAAAAGAATGTGAAAAATGTAAACAGGCAATCTCCAGTTAGCAAATAAGTATTGGAAAAGAAAGCCTTTATGCAGAGAGAAATGTGGGAAGAGAATGTGCTGGAGTTGAAGCTAAAATAACGACAAATTTGGAAGTCAAGCTTAGGGATTCAGTGGAAAATTTCTGAAATGAAGTTAGATCAAGATTTCTCATAAAAACTTAAAAGAGGAGATGTGAATAAAAAAACAAAACAAAATCAAATATATAAGATAGTAAATAAATGCAAAGGTTAAAAAAGGGAATTGTTAAACTCTGTTCTAAAAGCACTGGAATGCTTGCTACTTCAGAAGCTTTTTCAGGTTATTTCTACATATGTGTGTTTATGCACAGCTGCTGTAGAGATGACTCTAGTGGAAATGTGTGCACTTGCACTGAACCTTCCAGAAAATATAATTGCCTTAGTACTTTAAGGCGTGGTACTTCATAAAATACCTTGTGAATGTCTTGCAGAGTTTTAACAGTTTCTTGCAACTGTTTAATGCAAAATCTATGCCAGATAGTCCTGGGCATGACCATAATTGAACACAAAATTTATGTGGCTGAGTAAGACAGTTATTATGTGGGTTTTGCTTAATTTTATGACCTTTCTTGCCATGGTTGTTAAGTGAATCACTGCAGTCTTAAGTAATGTGGTTATTAAGTGAATCTGGCTTTCCCATTGACTTTGCCTGTCAGAAGGTTGCAAAAGGTGATAATATCATGTTGCCAAGCATTTTGGTCAGACGACTATGGGGATGCTGCAACAGTTGTGTGAAAAGCGGTCATAAGTCACTTTTTCCAGTGCCATTGTAACTTTGAATGGTCAGTAAATGAACTGTTGTAAACCTGTACTTTAAAATATTTGGACTTCCAGGATTCCCCTCAGCTAGCAAGTCTACTCAGGCTGGCTGGAGAATTCTGAAACTCCACACATCCTAAAATTCTCAAGGTTAAGAAACAGGATGGATACTAGGCATAGACCCAAAATGCTAGACCCAATTTTTTTCTTCCATAATCATGGCCTGTAATTCTTCCTGCCTGTAAGCTGTATGAAGTTTCTTTCACCTTTTCTCCTGTGCGTTTGTTTGGACAATTGATTTTTCCTTCTATACTGCAGTGGTTCTTAAATTGTTGGACCCAATTACCCCTTTTCTCAGTCTTAAATAATGTCATTACCCCCACAAAAAACCCCGGACTCAAATTGTTTTACACAAACCTCTGGGCAGTGGCAGAACCAAATTGAACCTTTGACTAACAATCAATTACAAATTGCTCCATTACCTCCAGGATATGCCTAAATTAAAAACCATGGCTATAGAAGAAGAGACTATACCTTGGCTGCCCTAGCTGCCCATAACAGTAAAACCTGATTCCATAAATTTAATTAGAAGTGAATCAATTGATGGCATATTCTAACTAGCTTGTATATCAGTATCAACATTTTTCTTTATTTTTTTAAAAAAACCAAAATTGCATGTTATATTAGTGATAATTCTACCCTAAATATTTGTGACAAACATTTATTGTTTTTGTAAGTTACATTTTGTACAACTTGTATATGGAAAATATTTCATGTGTCAATCATATTTCTAATTTGGGAATATTTATTTATTTATTGAATGTATGTGCTGCCCATCTTGTCTAGAGGCTATTCTACATAATTCTATTATAGGAGATTACTATACAATATATTATTATAAGATATATTATTTTTATTTACCTTATAAACTCTGGTTTTAGGAATTAGAAAGTTTTCAAAGATTTATGAATGAACATCCCCCTTTTGATGTTGTGATTGATGGCCTCAATGTTGCCAAGACAACCCTTCGGAATCCTTCATCTAAAACTGTAAGTACTATTTGTTTTAAGAAATTGTGTGTGTTGTTTTAAATATCTACATCTACACTTCATTGCTTAAAGTAGAAATTAAGTAGAGAAAAGAGAAACTCTTTTAGGAGGATATATTTTTCCCCAAACCAGGGAATAGTTTTTTTCCTCATAACATGCTTGGGAACTTATAATAATGGCTGGTATTTTATGCTCAGTTTTGTGTGTGTGCGCGTGTGTGTGTAAAAAGAAGGAGCACAAAAATGAATACATCACTCTCGTCCTGGTTCTGTCAAATGTTATCAGCAAGCATGACTCAATAATCTCTCAATAATGTACTAACCCTGGTCTGAAATCTAACTGAAACAGGTCTAGATAATATACTTCCTCCAAGTCCCTATGCAACTGCTGTCTAACTTTTTTCTCAGTAACCTTCCCCATAAAGGGAAAGTTAGATATGGGACAATAACTGTCCAGAATGGAAGGGTTCAATGATAATCTCTTGAGAAAGAGGCACATTACTGGCTGCTTCACAGATGGAGAGAAAATGCCTTCTCTTCGAGTTGCTGACACTATTACAAGGATCTAACCACAAGCTATCTTGACAATCCAGGAGAGACCTGGATCTCACACAGTTCAGAGGACCAGTTCCTCAGGACTCAGAGAATCAAGCTCCTCCAGATAACATCAATAACACCAAGCAATTCATCTGGACCTACCCAATTGGAGCCCAACTGATAGAATATGAGCAGTTTTGTCCACCAGATAGCATGAATACTCACAACGGCCTTTTAGATGTCCCTGGGACCTGTCCCCTCCCAGCAAAGTATGGTTCACCTTAAATAGGGTTGCTGGTGAAAACAGTGTGGCAAAATTTTGTATCTTATGGCTATAATCAGGCCCAAATATGGACTTTTGTGTCGAGTCTGATTCCCTGTTTATCTTCCTCCAGTGTCACACTAAGTATCTTTTCTTGCAATTCATCTTGCTGATACTAGAGTTTGAGACCAGATTGAGAGATAAAGAAATGAATGCCTGACCTAGATTTATTAAAAAAGGAGTAATCATAAATGCAACTTTTGTACTAAACCTTTTATATTTCCTATCTACTATAGTTTAATAACAGTAAAGACTGGATAGGAGAGTGTTCTCATTGGCTTGATATAGTGTTCTACTATCCATGGCTCTAGACAGGAGATTTAATAACATTCCCTCCAATTTGCCTTTGCCCCTGCTGGGTGATAACAGTTTAGACACTCATATATGTGCTGTTATACTGTCCTGCATGTTGGGGTGTGATATAAATATAATAAGCAAATATTCTTTTTCTAATTAGGGCATTATGCATCTCCACATATGCTGTATATGCTGCTCTGATAAACAGTTTCAGAGTTAAATTCATTTTTTAAAAATGTAGAAAAATATACCAAGACGCTATTGCCATATTTCTCAAGAGAACATTCAAATCCTAATATGTAGGCCTTTAATGAGAAATGGACTGTCTAAGCCAGGGGTCCCCAAACTTGGCAACTTTAAGACCTTTAAGATTTCTGGGAGTTGAAGTCCACAAGTCTTAAAGTTGCCAAGTTTGGGGACCTCTGGTCTAAGCAACAGTTCTGTTAACAAGGTGAGTAAAGCTGCAATGTGAAAGGAATATTGGCTGAAAACTTTATAACACCCTCACAGGGGAGACAAATGTGCTGGAATTGAGACTTCTTACTCTTAAGACTGCTTTTCTTTCATGTTTTGTATTACTCTGAATGCAGTTGTTTCCCCCATCTTTCTTTTTTTCTTTTTCATTGGGTACTCTAAAATAAAAGTAAAAGCTATTCACTTTTATCTCACTAGCTCACATGAACAGCTAGTCTTTTGTTCATCTATTTTACACTTAATTTTTTTGGTTCTAAACATTTTAATAGCCTGTTGTTCAACATCTTCAAAGCAGTTTGCAAGTATTACTTTATGATAAATAATAAATATGAATAAACATTATGATAAATAATGTTTTTAGAAAGAAAAATCCAACAATTTCAGAGATTCCTTCCTTGAGACAGCTGGTAGTGACTCTTCGTGGTGCAGAAGAAAAAAATCTAGCTAAATAGCTTTCTGGGTATTATTACACTGGACTGTAAGGTAGTGGCTCTTTCAGGATTGGGAGTTTCAAGCATTAAAGGAAGTTTTGAATTGATCTTTACTTGCTTTTTCCTCTTGCTGTTCAGATAGACTTTTGTAGTGATTGGTCCTGGCCTTGTTTAGTCTGGTAAGGTCAAATCTCCCTACAATTTGAGTTCATGTCCATCTAATTTCTTGATGATGATTCCAGAATTGGGGGATGTGTGTGATCCATTAAGCTATTTATTATGTGATTATATTTACACCATATATTATACATACACACACATACACAAAATACTAGATAGATAGATAGATAGATAGATAGATAGATAGATAGATAGATAGATACCCAATTTAGTCTAGAGCCCTGATATTCCTTGGAAGTCTTCCATCCAGGTACTAATGAGGATGATACTGTTTATTTCTGAGACTGGACAAGGTTTTAGCCAGATGTTGCCACCTTGTGAGACTTAAATTTAGTAGCATATTATTTAAAATCATCATCATGACTGAATTAAAGAAATCTGTGTTTCCTGTTGCTGATTCCTCTCCTGCCTCTATTGCATCTGTTTTGACTCACTGCTAATTGATGTTATCCTGATTTTGCAAACCCAGCATTAAATAAAGTGGTTGGTTGATTCCTCTGGCTTTGCTCTCCTCCTCCTGCTCATGACCAGCAGTTGGGAAAACATCCGGCAATCATGATGCTGCAGCAGGAATGGGGCAGGTCCAGCTGTAGAACTCTCCATGTTTAGGCTTCCTCCTGTTTCCTTTCTCCTACAGTTCCCATTGTATCACAGAGTGAACCCCCCCCCCCCCCCCCCCCCCCCCGAAAAAAAGAGAATACAACACACAAAATAGATTGAAGGTGCAAAAGCATTCTTAGCTTGAGATTCCTCCATTCTGTTACATCAATGTGAGGGGAATGGGTTACTGTTTCATATTTTCAAACTTCTAAACCAATAAAGGCCATAAATGAAACCAATTGTCATACTGCTGATTAAGCAGTGTAATCCTTTTGTGCAATTCCGAGAATTTATCAGCATTGTGTTGTTACATCCAGTTTTTTAGGGAAACAACAGCAGAATGATGACTGATAGGCTGATCAGGGAGCAAAGGGGAGGAAGCATGAGCCTATCAATCTGACATGGTCAGTAATTTTGTTCTGCTCTTTGAATCAAACCCACTATGGGTTAACCTGACTAAAAATAACAAATTTTACCAATCTTGCAATTTTATTCATGCTTTATGGGAAAACACTACATTAACACTGGTATAGCTAAGGATGGCTCGAGGCTATCTTACACATAGGTTCAGGATGTGATTGAAACTTCATATGGGAATACGAGAGGAAAATAATGTTGCCAGATCATATTTGTACCCATTGCAAAGAGGAAACATCGGGCCAGTGTGGCTTCAGCTCAGTCTACCCAGTGCAAAGAGGAAACATGCCAGCAGTTTGGGCAGTAGTGTCAAGCTGGCCATATCCACCCAGATGGCCACACCCACCCGGTCTGCCACTCCCTGTGGCTGGCGTCAAGCCAGCCATGCCCACCCAGTGTCACAAGGTCAATTACAGCTCTGATGCAGCCCTCAATGAAATTAAGTTTGACACCCCTGCTCTATAGATTTTAAATTCTGAATCAGACAAATACATGGTCCTTTAGTTCTGTGTACTGCCTGTCTTCAAAATACCAATTTAGCTGTGTCATGTCACTGTTTTCCTGCTCATAGCAGAATCTTAAGCAAGTTACTGAATTGGTACCTAGGTCTTGGATTCTATCTAATTCCACAATAAATATTATTTTGGATTTGTAGGGTTCTTTTGAGCTTATATAGAAATGGCTTGGGTAAACTGCCATGTTGTTGGAAGTGCAGTGAGATTAATACATCATTAATTTCACATGCTTGAACGATCTGTTATAATTGTTTCTTTTTGGAAGGAAGATGTTATATGCATTAAATCAGTTGTGACATGAGATATTCTCAAAGTTTCATATTTTTTGAAGTATATTCCTGTTGGATGGACAATAAAAATGGATTTTCTGGCCTACTGATAATTAAAAGGCTTTATTTTCAACACTGGAAGGCTAAATGGATGGCTCCAATGATGGGTCCATGATATAAATTAGCTATGGATGATGGTAATGAAATTTCCCAAAATGAAAACATTATTGAAATGCTTATGTAGAGGTTTTGAATATGTACACATATCCACGAGTGTATGTTTACATGCTTTTGCCTTTTTTTCTTAATAACTTCATCTATTTTTTCTTTCTTTTTGGTATGCAATTAATAAAAGCAATTTACAAAATTTACAAAATTAAATACCTTCGGGGGGAACAAGATTTTTTACTGAGCCTAATGAAACTCCTGCCAATGTAGCAGTAGCTTATTGAGAAAAGGAGATTAAAGAAAAGAAGGCATTTATTCTCCCCCCCCCCCCCCGGCTTGGATAAACTTAAATGCCTTCCTTGTGGTTTCACAGACTGGTAGTCAAGGAAAATGGCAGCTCTCTGTTGGGGAGCAAAAGATAGGGCAAACTGGAAAAATACATTTCGTCACTCTGTTCTGCTGCTGGCACAGGTGGCTTTTGAAGTAGAGAGAATGTGTTTGAGGTACAAAGAACACATGAGGTTTTTAAGAAGAGATTGGATGCTCATTTGTCTGAAATGGTGTAGGGTTTGCTGCCTGAGCAGAGGCTTGGTCTAGAAGACTTATAAAGTGTCTTCCAACTGTGTTATTCTGTTCTGTTGTTCTGTTAAGTGAGCAGAGGGGAATAGAAATTTCTGTCCTTCAGTTTCTTGTTCCCTTCTTAGAAGGGCTCCGATACCAGGAATGAGTTTAGCTGCAAGAAAAGGGACAGGCAGAAGCTGCAGAGCCTTGGGTCTATGTCAGGGGTGTCA